GTGTTGGGTACAGTCTATTGCCTAAGAGGTGTTTTGGGTGCGGTCTAATGTCTGAGATGTGTTGGGTACAGTCTATTGCCTAAGAGGTGTTTTGGGTGCGGTCTAATGTCTGAGATGTGTTGGGTACAGTCTATTGCCTAAGAGGTGTTTTGGGTGCGGTCTAATGTCTGAGATGTGTTGGGTACAGTCTATTGCCTAAGAGGTGTTTTGGGTGCGGTCTAATGTCTGAGAGGAGTATGTAAAGTCATAAAGTTTTCCGAGGATGCTCCGCCCACCTCTGATCACAGCCTGTGTGACTGTTGTCACTCAGGTGATGAAGGAGATCCAGAGCGCCATGGCGACAGCAGCATCTGATGATAGTAAGCTGGTGTTGCTTGGCGGCGTCGGCAGCGTGTTCTGCTGCGGTCTGGACTTCCTGTATTTCATCAGACGACTGACGGACGACAGGAAGAAGGAGAGCATCAAAATGGCTGAAAGCATCAGGTAGTGCAGGGATCTGCTCTGTGGTCTCCTGACATTGGTCAGCTTGTCTCACCTGCCCTCTCTCTCAGGACCTTCGTCAACACCTTCATCCAGTTCAGGAAGCCCATCGTGGCAGCAGTGAACGGGCCGGCGCTCGGCCTCGGCGCCGCCCTCCTGCCGCTCTGTGACGTGGTGTGGGCCAATGAGAAGGCTTGGTTCCAGACGCCGTACACGTTCTGCGGCCAGACGCCCGACGCCTGCGCCTCCTTCACCTTCCCCCGAGTCATGGGGCTGGCAGCGGTGAGTCTGCACCTGGCTGTCCTTACAGGTGGTGGTGTCTCCTCCCCCTCCTCACCTGTCCTTGTCTCACAGGCCAATGAGCTGCTGCTTGGCGGCAGGAAGCTGACGGCGCAGGAGGCGTGTTCTAAAGGCCTGGTGTCCCAGGTTCTGTGGCCCGGAACCTTCACACAGGAAGTGATGCTGCGGGTCAAAGAGCTGATGGCTGTCGACCCTCTGGTCAGTCTCACACACACACACACACACACACACACACACACACACACACACACACACACACACACACACA